CTTCCCGACAGTGGAACTCCCTCTTACTTGCATTCCTGATAACTTAAATGTAATGTCAATCGACATCTTCTGTTGACTTGATCCTTGTTCTTCTTTTTATCCTCCTCCGTTCTTCTTTTTATCATTTCCTCAACCTCTGGTATACTCGGTCTTTTCCCTTACTTACACTCCTGCAGCCCATTGCATGAGGTGAATTGTGAAAACAATATATATATATATATATATATATATATATATATATATATATATATATATATATATAAAACAACAACAGGAGTGTGTCATATGTTAGAAGACCTGCAAAAAACTCACAAGCAACCTGAACAAAATTTACAACAAATGATAACAGGCTCTGTACAGGACAACTTAGTTTGCCGTATCTGCAATAAGCATTGCAAGTCACTTGTTATCCTTTTTGTCACTTTTTGTCCTTCTCATGAGAGAAAGCATGGGTTAAACTTGTCAGCGATGATCATACTCGTTTAATAAGTCGACAGACATCGTGTATGTGTGTGTATTGTAGATAATTTATGGTTATTTTTTTTATTTCTTTAATTTCTTCAAACTTTTGTTGTGGTTTTTATTTAATGAAATAACAGTTTTTATGTTTTATGTTTCACCTTACTGGTCTGCTAAGGAAAATGATCATTCATTTTCTCTACTTCTACATCTTCTCTAAAATAAGAAAAATCTAGAAAAGAATGCCGATGGCAGTCGCTGCACCATTTCCTATTAATGTCGAATTGATTACACTTTCTTCAATCTAATGTTCACTCCGTAACAATTTTATTTGCGAAGGAAAAAAAGAAAAGAAAAACTTTGGATTTGGTTGATGTTGAGAAGGTAACTAGTAGATTAAAAGCTGAAGAATGGCAGGATGCCTCGAAGATTTTACCAATATTCTCCCAAAATCAGTCTTTAATCGACTTCGCATGGGATGTTGGCTTCTAGTTAAATCTTATCCATTCACGTTTGAATGATTTCAGCTCTGTTGAATTAAATAGAGAATAGTTAAATATGTATGTATTCCTAGTTATATACGCACGCAAACATACACTCACACACACAAGTACTTAAATATTTGATTCTCAAATAATGTATCCCTGCAAAGTTTATGTGGATGTCTTTATGTATGCATGCAGTACCTACTTAAATATGTACGTTAGATTGTGTCCTTGATGCATATACAAAGAAACACTCACGTTCTTAACGTAGTCGTGTGAAATGTGCCAACAGCGGAGTGCTTTCTGTGTTGGCACGTAAAATTTATTTATTCAATCTGGAGAATTCGAACTTTATAATTTAAGCATTAAACTACGCTACAAGAACTATGCTGAAGGACATTTTATACGAATACAAGCTTAAAAATAGCGAAAATGTATTTTGCCGAAATTAAATGAACGTGTTTTCATTCTGAAATGACAGGTTTAATAATATACTGCTATAATAAAATTGATGTCCCGTGTTCTAACCAAGGTTCCGTTAATGAATAAGCATAAAATTGTTTTCTTACGCGATTGCCCCACTATAGATATAAAGTTGATATTTTCTTTTATTTATCAAAGAAAGGGAAATTATACAGAAAGAAATTTTCGTGTGCCGATTATTATCTTGAATCTTGAAATCCCGAACGTTGAAATCCTGAAATTTAAAATCCCGAAATATGAAATCTCGAATTTATAAAATCCCGAAAGATCAGAATCCTGAAATTTAAAATCCCGAAAAATCAGAATCCCGAAAAATAATCTTTTGGAGAAATTGAAAGAAAAATGGAAATACCTAGTTCTAAACATTTACAAAATAGCGTTTAAATAGTGTTTATACATTTGAAACATTCAAAATTCATAGGCGATGGGAAAATTTAGTAGATAATGCTCATGGCATCGCATTATTAGAGAGTTTCCCAAAGAGCAACAGCACGTAGAAAACGAATGTAAATCTGGCGTTATGCCAAAGTTAGCGTTGTTCAACAAATCCTGGTATTGCTGAGGTGCTAGAAATAATGATGTTTCATTTTCCGAAACCATAATTGATCGCAAGGTAAAATCTTTATAGACAGCAAGTTGTATTTTTAGTATCAGATTGGTGTTATCATTTGCAGCCAGAAGCGTTCCCCTGGAAAGTTTATGATGAGATTCTTGAATAAAACTTTAATAGTTACATTTATACAGAAAATATTCTGGGAAAACTCTTCTTGAGTTTTGGATTGTGTTCTATTTTTATTATTATTTTTTTTCATCTTGTATTTTTTATTTTATTTTCTTGGCTTTGTTCGATTCTAATTTTATCCGAAACGTTTTTTTTATTTGCAACAATATCAGAAGAATATTGAAAAAAGAAATGTTTGTCTTACATAAGAATTACAAATACTATGCAAATACTATGCATTTATTTTTACTATGCAAATACTATATATATTCTTTTCTTTTTTTTCTTCAACACGTAAGAAGAAATGACTCAAGTAACTCATTCGATTCTTGTTTATATTTTTTGTTTTATTTCTGATTATTTATTTTCTGTTTTTTTTTTTTGACTGAAGTAGTCATTTCCCTTTTGATTGTGTTCTGATAATAGTGTGAATAAAACATGAAAATTTAATTTATCCATCATTCTTATCTGTTAAACTGAAAGTTTTCTACAGAAGCAAAATATTCGGGGTTCCCTTCATCCTATATTTATGAAAATTGTGCCATCGACTAAATCCTGGTGTGTTGCTGGCGTAAAGAACCAGAGATACATTTGTACTAAACACGTCCGAAAATATTCCAAATTCTCTTGTCTTGAGGTGAAGACCAGTTATTCGTTGCCCAAGAAGCTGTAAGCGTTCATGTTAGACTGTTAGCAGAAAATGAATGAAAGGAATCTGGAGTAGTGGATTATAACCAAGTTTTGTCTGAAGATTAGTTAAAGTTCCAGTGAAATGTTAGCCATATTAATAATAAGTTATGGTGAACATGCTATGAAAAAAATAATATTTTTTATTTGCAATGGAAGTTTAAGATGTACACAATAACATAAGTAATTCGCAGACAAAACACAAATATTTTTGGATGAACTGAAAAGGTTACAAGAATCTATTCAAAGGAAATGACCCGGACTATGACCTGATAAATGGATTTTCCATTATAATAATTTTTATTGCGGGTAATGCGTTAGGAATGCGTAGATTCTTAGATAAGACGTCTATTATGAAAATGAATAACCATCCTCATTATTCACTAGACTTAGCTCCCACTTTTCTGGCTATTTCAATACTGAAAAAGTGCCAAAATTTGTTAACATCTTTGACATCCAACAACACATGACTAATGAAAGATATTCTGTAAAATGAATTCCAAGAATGTTTCCAGCAACAACATCATCGTACAAGGCGAATAATTTGAAGGTGACAGTAGCCAATAGTGACCAGGTAAAGAGACTTTGCTATCACAGAAACATTCCGGAAATTTAATTATCCCACCTCGCACCCACTATATATATATATGTGATCACGCGCGAGTGTGTGTGTGTGTTTATAAGAAAATTTCACTTATTTATTTCTACCCAAATCACAGTAGATACAAAGAGCACAATATCATCGATGAATAGAACATGTTTTATAAAACATGATTTTCAACAATGTCACCACCAGAGTGAATGAAATGATTCGGGTGCTTTTCATTTCCTTGCTTAACACCTGTGAAGGGTTCCACGGAATTGTCGCCATTACTGAAACGCATTATCCACCGTGTATAATTGTACACTGTTATGTCCCCGTAAATGTTCAGTAAGCGTCGATAAATGTTTTTCCGCATGGAGAAATACTATATATATATATATATATATATATATATATATATATATATATATATATATATATATATTCATCTTTTGTTTGCTGCTATTTTCCCAAAACTTCGATTCATAAAAAGTTAATTTTATTCATTCAAGTGTAACATAAGACAATCAAACTGACTCCGTTCGTATCTGAGTAAACCTGTTTACTACAGCGGATAGCCGATCCCTGTTGCAGACGCCTGCACAGGTACATTTATGTTCGTTCAACATCCAAAGTGCCCCACTATGCTGAGCAGACGTTAGTTACAGTTAGAGAGCGCATTATCTGGCGTAATCAATGTCAGTGAGTTCAAATCCTCGGTCACGATGACTTGTGAGTTCGGGTTAGGACAACCCTCAATGGTTCCCAGTTAGATACGCCTACCCAATTCCAATCACAATGCTCGAGCTAAACCCGTGATATGGTTTTCAGTCATTTTCCAAAGGTGCCGCGCGATGGAATCAGGAAGTTATTGATAAATCGACCATGGAAACAATCGAACCCGGATCCCATGATCGGGAAATCACGTATCTAAATATTAAGCACTATTTATTACCAAACTCTAGAGTATTGAAACCTTGTAACTAGAAATATTAATATATAACACTTCTAACATAAGTACAAACATTCTCAGTGAAAGCGGCACAACAAAAAGAACAGATGCTTTTCTCGCTTTCCATGATTTGTTCATATATCACTTAATTGGATTTTTTTTCTCAGATAAACGGAGAAAACGAAAAAACTGTTTGAAAGAAATGCTTCCGTGCAAGCAATAATGTTTGTAAGTAATCAGCGGTTTCATGATCAATGACTGTTGCTAAATATTGTCCCAGTTGATCAAGTTAATTTCAAATCCAGTATTGAAATATTTGCTTTATAATTTGAAATGCATGTCTATGGCTGTGTTGACTTCCAGCTTTTTAGTAAGTGAGAATTTGAATAGTAAGAGTAACAACAATTTGAATAGTAAGAGTAACAACAATTTGAAGATTTAACAAAATCAACGAATAAAAAGTTTTTGATGACATCTGAAAAGAATCTAAGACATTTTAAAATTTCCATCGTGTTTTTTCAAATGCGTGTGTCGACTCAAACAGTATTAACTGTTTACAAATGGATCGCTTATCACAAGAAAATTTAAAGGCGAAGATTTTTTGATATTACTAATAATTTGAAATGTCCTTTAAGAATTGATGATGCTGGCCATTTGGACAAAAGAAAAAGAGAAATAAAAGAGAAAGATAATGAGAAAGAAGAATGAGGAATAATGAAATAAAGAAAGGAAAATGAAAGATAATAAAAGTGCGAAAAATAATGAGAAAGAAAGATTTAAATTATGAGATTGAGAGAAAAATGAATTCGAGAGATAATGACAGGGAATAATGAGAGAGAAAATGAGAGATAATATAGAAGAGAGAAAGAGAGAAATGGTGAGAGTGATAAATGAAAAAAAGATAATAAGAGAAATAATGAGAGGGGAAGAGAGATTGAGCAATAGTGAGACAATGAGTGAAACGCTTAAAACTTTGCTGTTTGCATTATATTATTGTGTATTTGTTTTACCAATAAACAATTTTAAATTTTCATTAAAACTGTTCTATTTCCTTTCATTGAAAGGTACTGCAATTGATATTAAATGTTGCTATTTGGAACTTTTAATATAAGTACAAATTATGGATGGTCCATTTATCGTTTTCATGCTAAAATAGAGATTTGGTATCAGACAAACAACGTATTATTTTTATCATTTGGGTATTTCTTATAATTCCACGTTGTGTAATTATGACTTGATTAATTATTTATTGCTATTAATTTTAAAGATGTTCTTTATTCGGGAAGGATAAATAAAAGTACGGATAGAGTTAAGAGTAGGTATAATATTGATTTAGAACTTATAGAAAATGGTTGACCTCTTACGTTAGTATCATTTATCACATACATCGATTTCAATTCTGTAAGCAAATGATAAAGTAAAATTCTATTTGTATTAATTACCTGTGAATAAATATCACTAACACCTGTTGAATTGATAAGGGAATTCTCTGAAATAAACGTTTATTTGCACTTGTTACGTTTCATGTGAATTTTTATAAAAAATAAAATAGATAACTTGGTGTCATTACCAGCACATTTTCAGTAATGACCTTGTCAATTAGTTGTATAATTATAAAACCTGAATAAAACGCTGTATGCATATAATCCCAACAAATCTAAATTAGACATTTTGCCGTTGATTATTATAAATATTAAACTACAATGATTAGTTCATTTCTATGCTTAAGAAAACGTACGTAAATATGAGTATCTATGAAATTGTTGATAAATCTGTAAGTCTGGAACAAATGTTGCTTCGCACCTTGTAATGATAATTAGAAAACCTACGTTTTTATAAAAACGTAAAAAATAAATAGATAATAATACAGTCTGTCTGAAGTTATTATGCAAATCTCATAACTCTAATTTGCTTTCAAACATTTTTTATCAAATTTCAAATGATTAATTTAGATCTCAAAACAAAACTCTAGTTAAATTTTGTATGTAGTTTCAAAATTTTATTAAAGTTATTGGATTTATTATAAAAACTACAGTCTGCAGATTAAACTAATATTAGTTTAAGGCATCTGAAATTTAATAAATACTCCATGATATATGTTGAAACACAGATAATGGAAAAGAATCTAAAAATGCTGAAAAACAGAAAATAACAAAGAATGTCCACATTGGAGACTTCAAAGGAACTTCGCGAAGATTATTGAAAAAAGGGTTGTTGAATATAGAACTAGAAGCAATGGAAAAGGCTTGTCTCTTCGAGGGGGGGGAGTGGAAACTAAAGCGAATTATGGAGAAAAACACATTTTTGACCAGTACTGAAATCTATGAACAGGCTGGAATTTAGGGAGTCAAGAAGGATAAAAGGTGTAGAATACTCTGCAAATTGGGATCTGTCATTAAATGTCCTTGGTAAACTCCTCACAAAAACGCAAATATTTTAAAGTATAAAAAATGGACCAAGAAATACATGAAAATTGAAATTTTAAAGTAATTTTCACGGACGAATTTCAGGTGAAATTCAATGGACCTGATGAATTGGCCAAAGAAAGATGTACCTGTGGCAAAGTAGGCGACAGTGTGGTGATATGGGTTTCAATTGTCGACCAAATCATTATTAGAACATTTAAAGTCGATGAAGGAGTTAAACTGAAAAGTGCTATTGCGATTTCATGGTAAGACTTTCTTTGAATGGTACAAATCTCAACCTCGCAGTTTCAAAATGAGGTACACACACACACACACACACACACACACACACACACACACACACACACACATATATATATATATATATTCATATATATATATATATATATATATATATATATATACACCCAACCTTCATTTATATATATACTCCTTCCTGTGTATCTAAGGTTACCCGTGAATTTTTGGGAGTGTAAAATGTTTACAGGAGAAAACATAATGGAATGGCCAGTCCCGATCTGAATCCTATGGGGAATATATAGTCAGTTGTGAAGATGAAATTATAGGTGGCAAATAATATGACAGTAAAGTAGACTCATGGGAAGCAATTAAAACCACCATATCGGAAATTGAACAAAGAAGTAAAAGATTTAACAAAATTAATGAATAATTGATTGCTGGCTGTTATTAAAAAGAAGGCTCACTATATTTGGATGTAAATGCTTCAAAGACTAATCCTATATGTTTGTTATTTGTTCTATTATAAGTATTCAATTGTTGATGATTTTATGACCTTATTATTGAAGTTAAAAGTGATTTTCTGGTTTTGTATAACAACTTCAGTCTGTAGTCTTTATAATAAATCCAATCACCTTAACAGAATCAATTAAAACGACCGAAAAATTTAACCCAAGCTTTGTTTTGGCGTCTAAATTATTTAAAATTTGACAAAAATTATTCAAAGCAAATTCGCGTTATTGAGATTTATGTGATTTGCATAATAAATTCAGACGGACTGTAGATTCCGTTTTACAAACAATATAAAGAAAGGAATTATTCATGAAAGTCATATTTATCTTACTGCCAAATAGAAATCCTATTATCTAATACATAGTATAATGGCATAAAATGATAATAATAATAACTAAATAATAGAGTAAAATTATATTCGTGTTAATGTTTTAGTCAAAAATATAAAGCATTCAACCCTTACTGAAAAAGACTTCTTTAAATTTTATGTTTTATGACGAATTTAAAAACAATATAAAAATAATATCTGAAAAAACTATTTCGTACGAAATATCGTAGACATGATTATTATTAACACAGGAAATAATTGCTTCAAATATTTTATTTCAGTTCTAGAATTAGGAAAAATATTATGGAAGTTGTTAAATAATGAGGCTGATAAATAATCATACATCAAAGAAAAACTATTAATTTCAATTGTTCTCTTAAAATTTTATTTCCCAGTCAAGGTAAGTTTAATAAATTTTTACCGACATTTATCCTTAATTCATTTAAATTTGCATTAATTTGCCGAAAACGAGACAAAATTGTTTAATTCACGTCTATTTTGAGGATTTTATTTTTAATTTTGATGCTTTTTGACATGTTTTTGCTTTATTTTTTTTGACCGGTCCCGTTTTTCGAGCGTTAAATTAAACTTTGGGATTTCTCAGTAACGAAATAGCTTTCAACAAATCACATCCACACATTACAAGATCTTATCATTTGAAATTCGTTCTGCCAGTGTTGATTATCTCCACGACATATATGAATATAAGAGTAAATGTTTTAATTTAATAATAACAATAATTTCTTTTAAATTTTTAGTAATCTTTAATTGAACATAAGGGTACATTTAGTGCTAAGAGAGAACTTTTTATGAAAAGCGATTTCTAAAAATAAAACTCTTGTGTACTTTTTTCTTGAAAAAATGTTAAAATGGTCAGTTACAGATTATGTTATGAATTAATATTCTGTCATCAACCCTATGTTGATGATTCTAATTATTTGAAGTAGTTTGTTTTCAATAAACTTCTACAGCCATTATTTGATAAAGATTCTTTTGATGGATGGATGAATTCTCCTATCGAGAACGAGGGACGAGGATTCAGTAATTTCTAAGTTATTACTGAACAAGTAATTGCCTGAAGTAATCAATTGCTTGTACTCTGCAATGAAGACTCTTTCCATCATAGCACCATATCCTGTACTGGTGCACTGTATGCAACATGTCAAAGGATGCTACAATCGCAGGCCTTTTTTTTTAAATGTGAGTTTTTCATCTCCTAACTGCATGTTGGCCGTTGGCTCCTATAAGAAGCTCATCTGCAACTTTGCCAATCCTCTCCAGGCTGGTTTAAATTCAGAATTTCCCATATTTTAGACTGGTTACCAGTTAAGTCTATTTACTCATAGCTGAGGGGAGAAGAAATGGAATCATACTTTTCCCAAGAATATTTGCGCGAAAGTGAATGGGAAGAACACGATTGCAGTTTGAAGTGTGCTCTTTAATTTCTTCTTTCATGCGAGGGTGAAGCTGAAAACTTCATCAGCTGATTATGAAAGAGTCACACTAGAGCTATGAAATCTTGTATTCATTAATTTTAACTCTTAACTGAATTGTTTGTTTCTAAGTAAACTGGCACCAGACTGTTCAAAGAAGACTTCAAATGTAAGGAGTAGCGTATTCACTTGAAAATGGACAAAATTTGGCATCTTAGTGTTATCAAGTACCTGAAAAAATAGTTTAGCTCACATGGCTGCTAATTAGAGGATGACGCTCTTGCTTTATCAGCAGTACAAAAGTGGACAGAGGAATTTAAGAGGTGAAGGGATAGTCTCGAAGATGACCTAAAGTTTTGGACGTCCGGTAACTACCATCATTGAGGAAACATCTGATTGTGTTTACAACATGGTGATGGATGACAGACGATTGACTATAAATCAAATAGCCAATGCTATTAGCATATCCCGTGAGATAGTTGAGAATATTCTGCACAATGAACTTGGCATGACGAAGGTTTCTGTTCAGTTACCGTTACGTCTTCGGACACCCCCCGATCAAAAGCTCCCCAGGCTGATCACATCAAAGGAATATCTGACATTGTTTGAGAGAGAGAGAGCCATCTGGTTTTCTTAAACGTTCTCTAACCCAGGATGAGTGTTGAGTTCATCAATTTGAGCCAGAGACAAAGAGACAATTCATACAGTGGAAATATCCTCCTCACCTGCCACAAAGAAGGCCTTTATTGATTATCTTCAAAAGGGAACACACCGTCAATGAAGAGTACTATGTTAATTTGGTGTGGTAAATTTGAAAGGCTATGAAGATTAAACATCCCAAAAAACTGACGAAAGGAGTTTAGTTTCATAAGGACAATGCTCCAGTACGCAAGTCCTTGGTTTCAATGGCTGATGTGCTTGACTCTGGCTTTGAACAGGTTGATCACCCCCCTATTTGGTCCCATCTGACTATCATCTGTTCCCCAACATGGAAAAAAAACATTTGGCTGAGTACCAGTATAACAATGATGATGATGTC